GGCCTGATTTACAATCAGTCCAATGTGGAATTCCAGATTGGACGCGTCCAATGTGGGATCCTAGATTGGCCTAGGCCAATCTCAGATTGGACGTGATCCGACATTGGCCGCCAACATATATATATGAGTGAAGAGCGCGTCAATTGTACCGTTTGGGGAAAAAATCGAAACAAATAAATTTAATGATAAAGGACAGTTAAGTGTCGTATTTAATAGAGCTATGTCCAATATGTATAAAAATAATATTTTCCCAACACTTCTCTGTGCTGTGGTGGAGATTCACGATATTACAGCCAATTTCTATATGTTACATCCATTTTTTTGCAATAAACTTAGTGTATCAACTACTCCTATAAACACTTTGCTAGTAAAATTATTTTTCCTTAGCTCTTCATTTGATACTCAATGAAGTTTGTTTAAATACAATTTGTTTAAATGAAATTTCGATGATTTTAACGTCGCTCTACACTTTGTTAGTAAAACTGAATGTTGTCTCGAACGAAGAAAGATTTTTGCTTGATCTTTTTTTGGTATGTTATTCTGGTCAATGAGATGAAAAAAGGGTCAAATTTTTGTCGCAAACCGTTTAGTTTTCATCGAGTTATAGCGATCACAAAATTGAAAATGTTGTTCTAGCTCTACAATTTGTCTAAATATAGCTTTTTTTAACTTTGTATAAATTTTTTCTATTAACGAAGTTTATGAAACAAACTTCTTTTTCTTGTCAAAATAATTTCCCTTTATTTCTCTTTTTAATGCTCAATAAAATTTGTTCAAATGAAATTTCAGCGACATTTATTAAATATGTCTGAATATTATTAAAATAAAATTTACTTTTATGAAAATTTCTTCTTTTGAAAAATTCAATTGAATTTATTATTCAAAAAAGAATATGAAATGAATACAAGGTTTTATTGGATAATGTGATTGTTGGTCAATGTTGTCAAATCCAACGAATGTTCTTTCATTTGAAGTTAGACCGTATAGTTTGTTTTCTTTTTATTTGCTTTGGTTGGATCTTAACCTAAAAAGAGTTCTATTTAGATCTTTTTGTATAAACTGTGATTAGCAAAAGCAATACTTGCATCATTCCGAAAACAGGACAAAAAGGATGAAGAATCGGGGACAAGTGGAAATCCATATAAGAATCTTGAAAAGGCATCTGTTCTTCAAGAAGTATATTATCAAACTTAGTTTGGTTTTTTTTTAAATTTGAATAATCTATTTAAAATAGGCTCGTACATTTAATGAAACTCCTATAAATGCACGAAAATGCATTCAAATATTAACTAAAATTATTTATATGATCAATCAAGTAAGAATAAATAAATCGTTTTTCTTCGACTAAAGACTTATCTCACACTGTTATTTGCAGCCAGATATGGTAAGAAAAATATTTCCGTTTCTTTTTCTGTTAATGGCGAAAACTGAATCATTTTTGGGGAAATTTGTTCGTTATTATTTAGATTATTTTTGAAATAAACAAATTTAAATATTTTAATTTTAAGGGAGAACAATTAGGTCAAACGGAAGCAACAGAAATATTTTTTGCCATGACAAAGTTATTTCAATCAAAAGATGTAAGTTTATTTAAAAAAGATATAGATTATTTATTTTTTGGAGATTATTGAATTTCTTTTCTAAAGGTTATCCTAACAATAAACGTAGTAGAGTGACTAGAAATAATTTAAATCGCAACATAACTACAGATAGTCCTTTTAGAAGTTCATTGACCATACATTAATTTAATCTTCTTCAGAATAAAGATGCATTTCACAGCATCTTCATATGATCATTATTTCTGTTCGATATATTTCAACACGATTTCATAGAAAATTCTTCGAACTTATTATTATAATATAATATGATCAAATTTTCTTTTATTTCGACAATTTTAGGTGAAAATCGAGCGATATATTTTTTTTTTTTAGAATTTTCATATCAGACAACTTGATCATGTTACACACATATATTTGTTAAGCAATTTAAGGAATTAGTTTGTAAAATATAAACAACATATCCAACGATATCGTTCAAGTTCTACAATATACATCTCTACATTGGATTGAGAGGAATGATTTTATTTTTAATTAGAGTTTTATGAAAAATTTTGCTATAAAACAGATCGAAATAATTATTAATCGTTATCGAAAACTTTAGGATCGTTATCTTGATGAATTGCCTCGTTTATCTCTATATCATACTAATCGATCTCTTTTTAATTTCATTTCGGATTTTCTAAAAACAATGAAATTGATCACTATTTATTTATTTATATAATAAGATGATGCTTCGTCGTATGATTTATTTATCAATAAAGGAAATGTCAACAGTTGCAAATGATGTTATTATTGTAACATCAAGTTTAACTCGTGATATGACTGGAAAAGAAGATTCTCATCGTGGACCAGCTATGCAAAAGCTTTATGTAAAATTACTGATGTATGTATATTTAAATATAATTCGAAACAAAAAAAATCTTTATTTAACTAAATAGGCATCAATGATGCAAAGTGTTGAACGATATATGAAACAAACAATTGTTGATAAATTACCATCAGTTGCATTAACATCATCAGTTCATTTAATGCGTCAAAGTCCTGAAGTAGTTAAACGATGGGTTAATGAAGTTCAAGAAGCTGTTAATAATGATAATATAATGGTGCAATATCATGAGCTTGCTCTTTTATATCAAATACGTCGAACGGATAAACATACTATTAGAAAATTAATTGTCAAATTTTCTAAAACTGCTCTTCGAAATCCATATACATTTGTTTTCTGGTTAATATATCACATTTTTTTTATAATTAATTCAATATTTGAATTTTATGTCTTTAGATTCGTATTGCAGCTAATCTTATAAATGAAGAAGGCGAAGGGTAAAGAGAGAACATATCAACAAAATAAATAATTAAAATATTAATTTACTTTTAGAACGGGCAGTCCAATGTATGATTTTATTGATTCATGTTTACGTCATAAAAATGAAATGATTATTTATGAAGCTGCATCAACAATTGTATCGCTTAAATGTGTTACACCAAAAGAACTTAGTTCAGCTCTTAATGTTCTTCAATTGTTTATTTCATCGCCTAAACCTGTTTAACGTTATGCAGCTGTTCGAACACTTAATAAAGTTTGTTTTATACATTTGACATAACAAAAATATTGAATTCTCTTGAAATTTAAAGGTTTTTATTGAATAACCGTGATTATTTTCGATTCAACAATTGTTTAAAATCCTGGTTGTCGACGGCAAATCTTTCTAATAGGAATGAAAAAGATCTTCAATTAGACATTTTTCAAAACTGCCTGAAGAGATACGATCAACACATTGATAATCGACTGAAATATACTGATGGTTTCAAAGGAATTATCTTTAAAGCTTTATTCGATCGATTGATGCCTGGTTTTTGTCTTGTCGACAATTATAATTCTCATGTCAAATCATTGTCCAGTGGTTTGGATTTGGAATTTTTACCGCTTCACATCGTTTCAGTCTTAGAATTAAAAACAAAATTGAAAGATTCCGATGTTGGACAATTATTACATTATCTTCGAATTATATTGGATTATTCTCCTTCATCACGTTCATTTATCTTAGGTGCAATTACTGATTTTCGTGATATCCGCTTTGCAATGGTGAGAAGGTCAACTGATGATGATGATCAATTCAAATATGAAGCATCACTCAAAGAACTTCAAGATGAAAATGAATATCTATCACAGTACTTAACAATGTTTTTCACAGCTGATCGATCAAAATTTGGTTTTTGTCGTTTGGAACCATTGCCTGATAACATTCGGATTGATAACAGATTACTCGGTATTGGAGCAAATGCCATGGTTTTTAGTTGCTCGTTGATCAATGGTCAATCCAATGAATATGCTCTGAAAATTAGTAATGATTCAGTTCAGAAAGAAGTGTCGATCTATCAACAATTATATGCTGACAAATATCGAATTGTTCAAGTTCATTCAAATGCTTTTTTATTCCTCCATCCACCTGGTCGAGTTGTATCAAAAGAAAATATACTGAACAATGCCCATCTGATCTGGAATCAAATTAAAAAAGCACATAATCTTTCAAATACGTTACGTGAAGAAGGTGGTTATGGATATAAAACGGCAATTGTTAATACAATTATTTCAATTATTTCAATTGTTGAAGAAAATCCTGAAGCAAAAGAAGCAGGTAAAAACTAAATAATCGGATTTTAATTTTTTTTTTGTATATAGATTTTATTTAAAAAGTTTGGCTCATTTATGTGAGTTTATCGAAGATTGTGAACATACATCATTAGCTGCTAGTATTCTTTATTTATTGGGTCGTGAAGGACCACGTGCAACAACACCAGCAAAATATATTCGTTATAGTTATAATCGTGTTATTCTTGAAAATGCACCTGTTCGAGCTGGTAACACTTTTCTTCTTTTTTTTTTCTTTGTATTTATTTATTTCTAATTAATTAAAGTTGTAGCTGCTGTAAGTGCATTAGCTAAATTTGGTGCAGCTTCAGAAGATTTCTTACCAAATATTTTGCTACTTTTACAACGACAACACTCGATCAAGATGATGAAGTTCGTGATCGTGCTACTTTGTATTATCAATTATTAAAACATAATGATAAAGCACTTAATTCAGCTTATATTCTCAATTGTAAGTATAACAAATTAAATGAAATTAAATATTTTAATATAGCAATGAATGTATCATTATCATCACTTGAACGTCTTTTACATCGTTATACAATTGAACCAACAACAAAACCATTTGATGTTCGATCTGTACCTGTTGAAGCAGTTCCGGTTGAACAACCTAAAGGTTTGATTTTCAAATTTGATTTTATTATTTAAATAAAATTTTTTTTTTTTTATAACAGATATTAGTATTGGTGTTGGTCTTCCACGTCCAGGAATTGAATCGAAAACAAATCGAGAAGATATTTATGATGGTAAGTTTCAAAAAAAAAATTTCTTTCGTCAAATTCATTTTTCTATTTCTTAGAACAATTATCTGCTATACCAGAATTTGCTCATTTGGGTCCAATATACAAATCATCATTACCAGTTGATTTAACTGAAAGTGAAGCTGAATATGTTGTTGTACGGTGTATAAAATATATTTTTAGTCATTATATTGTTTTTCAAGTAAATATTCTACTGATTCCTCTCTTTTTTTTTATTGAACTTTTTAAAACTTAGTTTGATATCAATATAACACACTAAATGATCAATTATTAGAACGAGTAACTGTTCAAATGGATGGATTAGCTGAAGGTTTTGAAGTTGTCCATTATACTCCTTGTCAAGTTATTAAATGTAATGATACGGGTACAACTTATACATTAGTTAAATTACCTGATGATTCGTCACCTGTAACTGGTACAATGAAATATACAGTTAAAAATTGTGATTCAACGACGGATGTACCAGATGATAAAGAAGGTTATGCTGATGAATTTGTGGTTTGTATTTTTATTAATTTCGATTATTTATTTGTCATAGCGTTTGTCTTTTGTTTTTAGCTTGAAGATATTGAAATAACAGTTAGTGATCATGTACAAAAAGTACTTAAACCAAATTGGTCTGCTTCATGGGAAGAAATTGAAGCTGAAAATGAACTTAAAGATACATATACATTATCAATTCGAACACTTGAAGGTATTATAAAATTATTACATTTTATTTTTCATTTCATCTTATGTTTATTATAGAATGTGTGAAGAAAATAATAAATTGTATGGGAATGCAAGCTTGTGAACGATCAGACAAAATTCCAGAAGGCAAAGCATCACATGCACTTTATTTAGCGGGTGTCTATCGTGGTGGACATGATGTACTTGTTCGAGCAAAAATGGCGTTGGGTGGTACAACAGTAGATCCAGGAGCACAAGCTATTACCATGCAATTAACAATACGTTCGACAGATGAATCAGCTGTGGAAGTTTATTGCTTCAGCAGTCGAATAAATAAATAACAAAAACATTGATACATTTTATTAGCATACTTTTCTTTTTTGTTGTGTGAGACTTTTTATCGATGTGCGAGTGTTATAAACTTATCATTCTCTTACTCTAAATAATATACACAGAAACATACTTTTTTCATCGATTATTATACCATCATAATGCCTAATTTAAAAAGAAATCAATTATTTTGACAAAGATTTGAAGCAAGCATTGACCAAGGCTAATAGAGCATATAATTTTTTTTTTCTTACTAATTTAACTTTTCTATCCATCACTCAGTAACATAAAGATAATGTTCTATTGAACATAGTGTTAGTTGTTTTTCGTGTCAATATCTAAATTTAAATGATAGATGACTTTCTCTTGCATAAAAAATACAAAGATCGTGCTTTTTAAAAAGCTGTTTCAATCAACCAATCCAAATTGAAAGAAATTGAAAAGTATGTTTGTGTTTGACGATTAGTATTACTACAAAACTGCTGTCAATACTATTTAGCATGTTTCTGAAGAATATTGTGAACTGATCGTTTAATCATTTATGTATATTCGTTATCTTTTATCGGTTGTCGTTACAGGTGTAACACATAAAACTGCTTGCATAAAAAGATTAGCATCAATTCTTCTTGGCTATTTTCGATTTAATCAATTCGAAAAACAAAGCTTGCAAAATTTTGTCTTTCGATCGGGCTAATAGTAAATAAATGAGATCTTCTGTATAGAAGCGAATTGCAAGACTTTATTTTCGCTTTCGAAAGAAATTTTGGTTATCCGTTCTTAAGTTCATCCCGTCACAGCGTACGGACTTTTACTTCGCACTTATAGAAACATCGATCTTCATAAATGCTGTGTTTCACATTGCATTTAATAGACTGCAACAGACATACGACATCTATTCAGACGCATAACTCGACATACTGATAGTATCATCATCCGAAAAAGTTATTGATCGCGTTCCATAAAAAAAACTGCGCGAAGAATTATATGTGATATGATAATGGACGAAAGCAAGGATCAAACGCGTTGGGAACATGATGCGTGAACAATCTATATGAATACTACAAACGAAAAACGGCTGTATTTCTGCGGTTGCTTGCTCGCATAAAGTTCCATTGATCAGATAAAAACTATGATCTAATCGTTGATAAGGTAGTATGACGTGAAAAATTATAACCGCGACGAACTAACTGATTATTTCGTTTGTTATGGATCCGAGAAAAACAAGGACGTCACTAGAAAAGAAAATAATATTGACCGAATTAAACGCGAGCACGAAATGATACGTATCAATTGATTCCACATGCGCAATATTTACATGTGATTCGTAGATTTGTTTTATTGTTTCTGTTTTTCATTAATCAAGAACTAACTTAAAGTTTAAAGAGAAATGCAGATGATATTTCAATTCTTAATAATCTGCCATTCTTTTGTTCATGGTCTATTCATATAAAATAAAACTATGAGAATACAATGACTACTTGTATAATGAATTAGTATGATCGAAAAGCGGCATTTAATTAAATGACGAAACTTTATTTACTATAAAATCCTAAGAAAGATAAGAAAAAACAAAGATTCTTTTTATATTTCTGTTCGATGGTCAGTTACTTTATATAAAAGAGTGACGAAAAAAAATGAAGAATGATAAGATTATAACTTTATAATCTTGCTGATAATCCAATATCTCTTCAGTAGGCGTAAATAATATCGATAAACGAAACATTTTTAAACGTTATAGATTGAGCTTCTGAAGTACAAGATGTTTGATATGTTGAAAACATCATCGAATTAGACAAAACATTTCAATTCAATTGTTTTACTATCAACAAATCAAGTACTACCATATTCGTTTAGTTTTAAACAAGGAAGTGCAGATAAAACAGTTTCACATTATATTTAGACAATAAGAATAGACAAAGAACAAGAAAAAAAAACTTAGAGAAAAAAAGGAAGAAAATAAATATTTATTGCAAAGATTAAGGTCGATTCGGTTTTGTGCATTTCACTGTTTGTTCGAATTGACATACCGAGAAGCACAAGAAAAATAGTTCAGACTATATGTATATACATAAATATTTTAAACACCAGCAAGTCCTTTGAGTAATGCCGGTTCCAAATGAGAAAAATCAAAATCTTTAACAGGCTCTAAAATATTGATAATAAATTGATTAAGTTTCTCTTGTCGGAAACAATTATTTAATGGATCATAGAATTGTTGTAGACATGCATCACTGCATTGACTTAATAATTGAAACCAATCTGATAGTAAATGAGGTCTAAAATATTATATTAAATAATGATAAAAATAAAACAAACAATAGTTCAAGACATACTTGCAAGCTAAACAGCACCAATTTTGAAAGCGACCATCTTTACCAAATGTAGAAAAACCTTTTTCAATTGATCGAACTCCATTTATATAAGAAATAATAGTTTTTTTTCTAATTTAGTACGTTGCCATTGGGATCGACGTCCATCATATTCATCACAAACTTTAACTGAATAGAAAAATATTAAAAAAAGAAATAAGTCAAGAACTAAACGTTGTACTTAAGAAGTCCCAAACATATCGTTTTCGTCCACCGTCAAAAAATGGAACATTACCAGTTGATTTTTTTAAACCATAGGAAAGAGTTTTTTCTAATGCATTAACAAGACCATCTTCACCACATAAAATTGGTGTTATTAATCCTTTCTAAATAAGTTTTAGTAGAAATTTTTTGAAAATAAAAAGCTTTATTTAAATTACTTTTTTTTCAGGTTCATCAAAATATTTAACTAATTGATTAATTGATCGACCTAACAATTCATAAATATCATCAGCTTGTTGATTTGATTGATTTTCTAAATCATAAACAGAATCAAATTATACATGATCGATCAGAAGAGGAAAAAAAAGTTATTGTTAGATCAATAGCAGTGGTAGTGCTGAGATGTCAAAGAAAAAAAAGTACAAAAAAAAGAAAAAATCATTATTTCATGCAAATCTTACGACGATAAAAATTTTCCGTGAGCCAACTGACAAAATCTGTAGGGGACGTTCATATGACATTAATAATGTCATGAATTAAAATAGAATTACTGAGAAAATATCTTACTTTGATCATTGACACGTCGTAAACTAGGTGATCGTGATCGTACAGAAGCTGATAAATTTGCTTGAGACCCACCACTTATGAAACTTGTTGTCATTAATTGAGATGGTTAACCAGAATCGAATAAACCATTAGTATTACTATCATTCATTTCACATGAATATGTCGAATCAATAAAAAGAAGTCGCTCTAAACTATCATCATCAACGCCTTTACCTAACCATCGCCCACATGGAAATCTATTTTTTGAAATGAAAATTAAAAAAACAATAATTAGAAAAGATTAAAAGTAACAAACCGATAAACATTGTTTGTTAATTGATTTCAAACAAGAACATGATCAATATTCCATCGAGACGTTAAACCAGTATTATCATGACCGATTCGAAGTGTTGTTAATTGACTCAAATTTTTGTGCTAAATAAAACAAAAAAATAAAAATCATCATGAACTTTTGTTTTTCATTCTATTTCATATAAAATCCAGATTTTACTTTGAATTTAATTTCCAGTGTATTTTTTGATGATAATGGTATAACTTTTGTTGATCCCAAAATACCAGCTAATGCAATATATGGATTAGCAGTTGTTGTACTAGAAATTCCTGTTGCTCGTGCTCTGGTAGGAACAATAATAACATGATAAATAATATCAATATCTGGATAAGAATTTGAAAAACATTTATAATCAAGTAATTGAAGCGATTCAATATGAGCTAAAAATTGTTTTCTTAAATCTCCATCATCGGTACGTAAAAAAGCTTCACGCTTATATAAAGCTTGTAAAAGATTACTATGAGAAAATAATTCAGATAAATGACGAGATAAAAGACGACGTTCAAGCGCCAAACGAACAAATGCACGAGCAAAACCAATTTCAGATGCTGAAACAGACACTGGATTATGTTCAAAACATAATTCAATAGAATGAAAATCACGTGCTAGAGATGTATTCGATTGATTAGTTATCATCATATTATCGGATGGAGCAAGATTGAATGCTGAAGTTGCCATTGCTAATAGAGGTGATGAACGTACTTGATGTAGGCTCATTTGACGACGTGGAAGAGTATGAGAACCTAATAAATACACAGAAAAATAAAGTTAACAAAATAAAACAAGAAAGTATATTGCTTAGGGATTATTTATAGAGGACGTCTTTTATTTTTTCTTTTATTATCTATCATTCGTTTATCAGAAACAAAATGATGAACAGAAACAGTGTTCAATGCACAATGAGAGATTTTTTTCTCTTTGTGCCATCAAAGTCATTGAAACTAGGATTTTGTGAAAGAGACGATTGTTCACCAGATCATCAACTTCGATTGAATCCAAACTCATCGTTTGTTTGAAAAAGACTTCTGGCTCAACGATCAGGTGAAAAAGTCAATCTCACACAAGAAGAACATTTTCACTTGAAAGAAATTTGACAATTTCGGGACGGAAATCGTGGTCTCGAGGATCACTAATGAAGAGTCATTCTGATATGGAAGAGACAGTTATGCAAGCAAAAGATAATGATCGTCTAGCTTTTGAGCATTTTTTCTGTTGCCCTTTCTGAGATCCATTTGGAAAACTGCAGGGTGAGAGTATCACTGACGGTATTCTCTTCCACTTTACCCGGAAAATCTTGTTCTTATTTGAAACAAACCATTTGAAAGAATGAAAGACATTGGAATAATATTGATCATCTGTTAGAATGAATGGTGATGAAGTGACAATTGAGTTGAATTGAAATGAAATCGTTGGAGATCTTTTCAGTTTGTCAAATTTGAATTTTTTGGAAGACATCACTGAAAAATCGATCAAATGAATTTCAGAAGATTGTGAATCCAATCAATTCTCTTTGTTTTGATGGAAAAGATTGATTTGAGAATAAACTTCGTTGAATAAAAACCTTTTCATTTGCTGATGATCATTCCACTCAATTTGATGATCTTTTTCTTCTTTCTAGCTTTGAAGAACATCTTTTCTCATCAAGAACTGTTTGGGAAATCGAAACGAATCGTTTTTTCCATTCCTTTCGAATCACATATTCATTCAATTGTTCACAACAAATCCAGAATATTTATTCATTTTCATCATCAAATAAAGTTCAGTCGAAGAATTTAACTTGAACAAAGATTTCTTTGGAAAAAAAAACAGTTTGACGAGAAATGACCAAAAGAAAGTTTTCAACTCGATTGATTCATTTTCATCGAAATCAATTTGTATCGTTTCAGTTCGATTTATTAAAAAAATCAACAAAAACTAACGCAAGTCAAATCGAATTTCAATGAAAAAGATGAGAAGATTTTCAATGTATCGAAAAAAACCAACTGATTGAGATAGGAATGGAATGGAATTGACTTCTTACTCTCGATCATTGAGAATTTCATGGTTGCCAACCCATGCCGCACATTTTTTTCACTACCGCCGGTATACCGCGGTACTCATAATAACCAGCGGTGTACCGGCAGTTTACCGGCGGTAGCGCTTATAAGCTCCGGTCCCGGCTAAAAAGGCTTCCAGAAACCGTTTTTTGTCAAATCCCGATTTATTTCGGGAAAAGAATTTGAATTAATCAGAAACAAAACTATTTCAGAATATATTTTGCGAATTATTATTTTTACAGCGACATCTTTAATAAATATTTATTTCATAAATGGGACCGATTTGAGCTCTGTGGCTATTACAGGCGGCTCAGGCACATCGACATTATCAAAGTACATCGAATTCAACACGATTCTGTCTGTTTAAACAGACTTGAAAAATATTCAGTCGTTTTATACTGCACAAAATGATGCATCATTTTCATAAAAAACCGGCGGTATACCGCACATTATACCGAACGGTGAACCGCCGGTTTGAATCACATGGAAATTGAATTGAGAAGATTTTCTAAAGAACAGAAAGAAGAAGAACAATTGAAGACTAGTTTTTCTTTCATTCAATACCTGAAAAATGATCAAGACGGAAAGATTTGTCTTGTTAACTGGTTGAAATAATTGTCGTCTGTTTGTTGATTGTCTAATTGAAATAAAGATTGACGATTCTCCAGACATTGATCAAGAAAAGCATTTAATTTGTCTTCATTGAAATGTTGACGATGTTTTTCTAAGAAGTCGATCACTTCGAATAGAATCGGTGGTTTCTTTTTCCAGCTCTTTTTCATTTGACAATAAACACCGAGAATTCCACTGTACGATCCTTGTTGAACTTCGGATGAAAGCGCTACTTTGAAAGGTTCTGCAATCAGCTCTAATAAAATCATTTTCATGAATGAAACACAATCATCAACTGGCAAACATTCCAAAGAGGAGTCTCTATTCTTTGCTAATTCTTCTAGAATGAATTTCGATGCTGTGGATAATGTTCCATTATATTTCATAGTTGAGCCAAATTCCATTGAACTTTGCCAATCGATCAACAAGATTTCGTTACTATTCATTAAGAAAAAAAGAAGAATTGAACGATGCAAAATCTCGAAGAAATTAATCAAATCTTTGGTTTTTTACCTGTTTATTTTCTCATTGAAAATTTCAATAATGTTTGATCTTCTAATATCACGATGTAATATCCTCCGTTGATGTGCTTTTTTAATTTGATTCCAGATCAGATGGGCATTGTTCAGTATATTTTCTTTTGATACAACTGGACCAGGTGGATGGAGGAATAAAAAAGCATTTGAATGAACTTGAACAATTCGATATTTGTCAGCATATAATTGTTGATAGATCGACACTTCTTTCTGAACTGAATCATTACTAATTTTCAGAGCATATTCATTGGATTGACCATTGATCAACGAGCAACTAAAAACCATGGCATTTGCTCCAATACCGAGTAATCTGTTATCAATCCGAATGTTATCAGGCAATGGTTCCAAACGACAAAAACCAAATTTTGATCGATCAGCTGTGAAAAACATTGTTAAGTACTGTGATAGATATTCATTTTCATCTTGAAGTTCTTTGAGTGATGCTTCATATTTGAATTGATCATCATCATCAGTTGACCTTCTCACCATTGCAAAGCGGATATCACGAAAATCAGTAATTGCACCTAAGATAAATGAACGTGATGAAGGAGAATAATCCAATATAATTCGAAGATAATGTAATAATTGTCCAACATCGGAATCTTTCAATTTTGTTTTTAATTCTAAGACTGAAACGATGTGAAGCGGTAAAAATTCCAAATCCAAACCACTGGACAATGATTTGACATGAGAATTATAATTGTCGACAAGACAAAAACCAGGCATCAATCGATCGAATAAAGCTTTAAAGATAATTCCTTTGAAACCATCAGTATATTTCAGTCGATTATCAATGTGTTGATCGTATCTCTTCAGGCAGTTTTGAAAAATGTCTAATTGAAGATCTTTTTCATTCCTATTAGAAAGATTTGCCGTCGACAACCAGGATTTTAAACAATTGTTGAATCGAAAATAATCACGGTTATTCAATAAAAACCTTTAAATTTCAAGAGAATTCAATATTTTTGTTATGTCAAATGTATAAAACAAACTTTATTAAGTGTTCGAACAGCTGCATAACGTTAAACAGGTTTAGGCGATGAAATAAACAATTGAAGAACATTAAGAGCTGAACTAAGTTCTTTTGGTGTAACACATTTAAGCGATACAATTGTTGATGCAGCTTCATAAATAATCATTTCATTTTTATGACGTAAACATGAATCAATAAAATCATACATTGGACTGCCCGTTCTAAAAGTAAATTAATATTTTAATTATTTATTTTGTTGATATGTTCTCTCTTTACCCTTCGCCTTCTTCATTTATAAGATTAGCTGCAATACGAATCTAAAGACATAAAATTCAAATATTGAATTAATTATAAAAAAAATGTGATATATTAACCAGAAAACAAATGTATATGGATTTCGAAGAGCAGTTTTAGAAAATTTGACAATTAATTTTCTAATAGTATGTTTATCCGTTCGACGTATTTGATATAAAAGAGCAAGCTCATGATATTGCACCATTATATTATCATTATTAACAGCTTCTTGAACTTCATTAACCCATCGTTTAACTACTTCAGGACTTTGACGCATTAAATGAACTGATGATGTTAATGCAACTGATGGTAATTTATCAACAATTGTTTGTTTCATATATCGTTCAACACTTTGCATCATTGATGCCTATTTAGTTAAATAAAGATTTTTTTTGTTTCGAATTATATTTAAATATACATACATCAGTAATTTTACATAAAGCTTTTGCATAGCTGGTCCACGATGAGAATCTTCTTTTCCAGTCATATCACGAGTTAAACTTGATGTTACAATAATAACATCATTTGCAACTGTTGACATTTCCTTTATTGATAAATAAATCATACGACGAAGCATCATCTTATTATATAAATAAATAAATAGTGATCAATTTCATTGTTTTTAGAAAATCCGAAATGAAATTAAAAAGAGATCGATTAGTATGATATAGAGATAAACGAGGCAATTCATCAAGATAACGATCCTAAAGTTTTCGATAACGATTAATAATTATTTCGATCTGTTTTATAGCAAAATTTTTCATAAAACTCTAATTAAAAATAAAATCATTCCTCTCAATCCAATGTAGAGATGTATATTGTAGAACTTGAACGATATCGTTGGATATGTTGTTTATATTTTACAAACTAATTCCTTAAATTGCTTAACAAATATATGTGTGTAACATGATCAAGTTGTCTGATATGAAAATTCTAAAAAAAAAAAATATATCGCTCGATTTTCACCTAAAATTGTCGAAATAAAAGAAAATTTGATCATATTATATTATAATAATAAGTTCGAAGAATTTTCTATGAAATCGTGTTGAAATATATCGAACAGAAATAATGATCATATGAAGATGCTGTGAAATGCATCTTTATTCTGAAGAAGATTAAATTAATGTATGGTCAATGAACTTCTAAAAGGACTATCTGTAGTTATGTTGCGATTTAAATTATTTCTAGTCACTCTACTACGTTTATTGTTAGGATAACCTTTAGAAAAGAAATTCAATAATCTCCAAAAAATAAATAATCTATATCTTTTTTAAATAAACTTACATCTTTTGATTGAAATAACTTTGTCATGGCAAAAAATATTTCTGTTGCTTCCGTTTGACCTAATTGTTCTCCCTTAAAATTAAAATATTTAAATTTGTTTATTTCAAAAATAATCTAAATAATAACGAACAAATTTCCCCAAAAATGATTCAGTTTTCGCCATTAACAGAAAAAGAAACGGAAATATTTTTCTTACCATATCTGGCTGCAAATAACAGTGTGAGATAAGTCTTTAGTCGAAGAAAAACGATTTATTTATTCTTACTTGATTGATCATATAAATAATTTTAGTTAATATTTGAATGCATTTTCGTGCATTTATAGGAGTTTCATTAAATGTACGAGCCTATTTTAAATAGATTATTCAAATTTAAAAAAAAACCAAACTAAGTTTGATAATATACTTCTTGAAGAACAGATGCCTTTTCAAGATTCTTATATGGATTTCCACTTGTCCCCGATTCTTCATCCTTTTTGTCCTGTTTTCGGAATGATGCAAGTATTGCTTTTGCTAATCACAGTTTATACAAAAAGATCTAAATAGAACTCTTTTTAGGTTAAGATCCAACCAAAGCAAATAAAAAGAAAACAAACTATACGGTCTAACTTCAAATGAAAGAACATTCGTTGGATTTGACAACATTGACCAACAATCACATTATCCAATAAAACCTTGTATTCATTTCATATTCTTTTTTGAATAATAAATTCAATTGAATTTTTCAAAAGAAGAAATTTTCATAAAAGTAAATTTTATTTTAATAATATTCAGACATATTTAATAAATGTCGCTGAAATTTCATTTGAACAAATTTTATTGAGCATTAAAAAGAGAAATAAAGGGAAATTATTTTGACAAGAAAAAGAAGTTTGTTTCATAAACTTCGTTAATAGAAAAAATTTATACAAAGTTAAAAAAAGCTATATTTAGACAAATTGTAGAGCTAGAACAACATTTTCAATTTTGTGATCGCTATAACTCGATGAAAACTAAACGGTTTGCGACAAAAATTTGACCCTTTTTTCATCTCATTGACCAGAATAACATACCAAAAAAAGATCAAGCAAAAATCTTTCTTCGTTCGAGACAACATTCAGTTTTACTAACAAAGTGTAGAGCGACGTTAAAATCATCGAAATTTCATTTAAACAAATTGTATTTAAACAAACTTCATTGAGTATCAAATGAAGAGCTAAGGAAAAATAATTTTACTAGCAAAGTGTTTATAGGAGTAGTTGATACACTAAGTTTATTGCAAAAAAATGGATGTAACATATAGAAATTGGCTGTAATATCGTGAATCTCCACCACAGCACAGAGAAGTGTTGGGAAAATATTATTTTTATACATATTGGACATAGCTCTATTAAATACGACACTTAACTGTCCTTTATCATTAAATTTATTTGTTTCGATTTTTTCCCCAAACGGTACAATTGACGCGCTCTTCACTCATATATATATGTTGGCGGCCAATGTCGGATCACGTCCAATCTGAGATTGGCCTAGGCCAATCTAGGATCCCACATTGGACGCGTCCAATCTGGAATTCCACATTGGACTGATTGTAAATCAGGCC